TTTGAAACGAGAAAGTTTATGGGTTTTTATAATTTAAGATTATTTAGAAAAAATACAGTAATAGGGGATGGTTCATTTCATATAGCTTGATGAAATCTGTTTGAAAACATTTAATAGTCATACGTGTGGGTAAACAATTATTATTTGGTGAATCATTTGGTATTAAGAAAAAAAGTCCACTCCGACTTGAGTTTAAGATGATAATTTATATTTATTTTTAATTGATTTTACTGGGCTTTTACGTTCTTGTATTTCATCACTAGAGCTCATAGTAAATCTTTTCTACATGAGCCAACGAGCCCGCATTTTCCCAATACGTACTCTTTAAGCTTATGAAAACACCATATTGAGTCTCATTCACAATAAATTCCCAATATCACTAAACCGTACAGACAACAATGCCAAAATGAATATCAGCTGATTGATGATGAAGTTGAGAAAGCAGGATTGCCAATATTTGAGCTTATTTTGTCAATAAACTAAACAGCAAATCTTTGAACTTGTAATTTGGGTTGCGCCGTGCTAATTTTACGGATATAAAAGCAATGGCGTCACAGTTAAACAATCTTAGAATTGTCCACACTTTTTTATTCAGTATCTAAGATTCATACAACAAATTGTACTGCAATCACCTCCTTTTGTTCTGTACATAAACACGCGTATAAGAAAATAGTTTAAGCTTTTTTTAACGAATCGTAATTTAGAAAACATTACAAAAATGAGGACATGGACAAGAAAGTGCATCAGGATACAGCCGAGTAATAAAAATACGATAATTTACCGGTTAGAATGGAAAAGTTGAAATACTGTACATCTCTTAGGGGGTTCTTTCCAGTAATTTTGCGAAGTCTTGTCCGTGTCACAGAACTTATTACAGTATCAGGCTTTGCGGGATTTAACTTAAATCTGCCTCTACGACCTTCGCAATATTAAACATCCTGTCCGTATTTCACCCTGATTTTTACGTGAGGGTTTAATCTGGTGGCTTAATAGTGTCACTTGGTTAGAAAATACGACCAAAATGAAAATTAGTAGTGTTTTAAGAGATGTACCTCTAAAAAAATATTGTTCTGGAAATGTATAGAGTCTAAACCAATATATTTATCGCTAATTAAAATGTGTTACATTTAATACAAGAGGTTAAGTTGCCTTTATTCCGTCCAAATAATCCTTTAAGTCATCATTAGGGCGAGCCTATGGCATCATTGTCAAGCTGGACATGTATATGTGTTACAGGTTTTTAAGACTCATGACGACCTCCTAGGAACGATTTTACGTCCATAGACGCCATAGACGTCGAAACCTGTCGCCCTAATGATGACTAAAGGATTACCTGGATAGAATAAAGGTAACTTAACCTCTTACAGTTCGAGAAGTAATTCGGAGGGCAATACACAAAATTACATGTTAAAAATCTTTGAAACTTGCATATTGATGCAATATGTAATTTTAGCAACCAAAACCAATAAAATAATACACGTGCTTGGTAATTAAAAGAGGTGTTTGCATCGTTTATTGCCCAAATCAAACCAAGCAACCTTTAACGTAAGCTTTATCTAGAAATAAATCGAAATAGTACATAATTTCACACCTACCTCTCCTACGCGAAAGCAGATAGTTTTATATTGCATTCCAAACCACGCCAACGTGTGAGCTGCATTTATCCATCTTGCATATCTTTTGATGTTATTGTCACTTGTATATCTCTACTTATCTGAGACTATTGTAAAATCGTTCCATTCTTTGTCACTCTTTGTTTGGTTCATATTTTGTAATCCATATTGATATTGCTTTTGTGTATAGATCTTTGATACGGAAGCATGAATCTGTCTACATTGGCAATAGGTTTTTATATTTAACTAATAATACAATTAAACCATAGACAAAAAGAATTAAATATAGACTGTCAGCTGTGCTGCGGTTACCATAGTTACCATAGGTTTGGCGCACACCGCTGGGAGCGCCATGTAACTACGGCGTAGGTGCTACGTAACTACACGGCACTCCCAGTGGTGTGCGCCAAACCTATGGTAGTCTAACCATGGTAACTACAGCATGGCTGGCGGTCTATAATGCATTCTATTAGTCTGTTTTTACATCAAAATCGCCGTAGTTGAAGTGAGTCACCAACAGAATTCGCTGATGAAAATTACAGATTAATGTGGAATACTCTGACTTTTTAACCGATTTAAATTCATAGGATGACTTATAGCACCTTTTATGCCACGTCAACTATCTCAGAGACCAAAAACACAAGGTTAACAATAGAGTTTTTGACACTCTAGGACAATCTCTGACTGGCCCACAGGACTATGTTGTTTTAAATTTTTAAAAAAAATTGGCGACAGTTGGTCCTAACATACAGTTGGTATGTCTACTTCAGTTTCCAAAATTAAATGTTTCCATTCCGAGAACGTATTTTTGTTCGAGCCTTTAATATAGTGTGCAATAGTTCCATTAGTTGGTGGAAACTAAGGAAGATTAGGATGTTTCTAAGATATTGCATTTCAGTTTGCCATGATTAACATGTTGACTTAGGAAAGAAAACCATCGTAAAAGCTGCACTACTTGTTGGTAGATCAATAAATTTGAGTCATTTTTATTACAAAACTATCTACAACATAAACACATGGGAATGTCATTTCAGTTTATTTATTTATTTATTGCAAACGGATTTCACCAATTTACAATAAGAATTACAATAATAGTGAGATACTCATCATGACTAAATACTAAAACTAAGTAACAATGCGAAACTGATGAACAATACAATAGGGATACATGCAAAATATAAGACAGAAAAAAAAACTACTTATACCTAGGAGTAACAAGACATAAATAATACAAGACATACGGTATTGAATAAATAGTAAAAAAGTTTAAGTCTAAGAAACACGTACTTAACAGAGACAAGTGAGACTAACCTAGGAAATATAACAATAAATATAAATCATATACAGGGTGTCTCAGACCACCCGGCCGGCTTGTATAGCTCCAATATGAAAGCAAATGGAAACCTAATTGCAACTGGAACCCCCTATTTTGACCCCAAGGAATTCAGCTAAATTATTTTCAACCCAAAAAAAGCACCCCAAAGGGCAGATTTTGGGGGGTGGGGGTGGTTTTTGGGAAATTTTCAAATGTAAAGGGGGTCGTGTTATACCTCTTTTTAAAGGTCCTTTAGTCCTGAGTATTTTAGTGGAAAAAGATTTAAAATACCTTCATCCCTATTTACAGGGTGTCCAAAAACGTACAAAAAATAGACCTTTGAACTACTTTTAACTGTAAAGAGGTGGAATTTCGTGGGGGGTTCAAATTTTGATAACACTTTAATTAATAAATGAGCTTTCAAAAAACTCTGGTTTCAACCCTTTTGCTATCTTTTTACTTATGTTACGCATTTTCAAACTTTTTGAAGTTTCAAAAGCTGTTATCTCAAAAATTTCAAATGGCAACATGGGTTTCATTACAAACCACATTGTAGCCCTTAAAATTTGCTATAACTTTTGTATTTAATGTTTTTTGGTATCTTCATTGGTTAAATAGTTATAACGAAATTAGTGTATTTTAATGTTTTATTAAATGGTATTCAAAGTGTTTGCTGTTGCAAATGTACACCACTAGGTCTCAATTAAAACAAAATCTTGTCTAAAAAAATAAAATAGTACTCAGATTGTTGATCTTGGAAGATTGATAAAGGAAAGAACACAACTGCAATTATTCTTAGTTATTTTACAATTTCATGGCTCTAATAGTGCTTTGAATGAATAATTTGTTTGAATCAGCATTAATAGCTTACATACCGATGGACTTCTACAAATGCTTAAATTGCCTTCCATTTTGTTCCATGCAAACCCCAACTCTGTTTATGCACGTAGTACTTCTTCTCCACTATTATGGTACTGTATTGCTATTTTACTACCGCAGGTGCATTCACCTCTTTTACAGATCCAGTAAGTTCCTTATAATTTGTTTTATCTTATCAAACGTGACCAGTTTCACGCACACGCTCATTGATTTCGTGATGATTTTTTTTTAATTACCATTTATAGACAGTATTCATTCAAAGCAATTAGAACTTTGTAATTGTAAAATAACTAAGAAAATTTGCAGTTGTGTTTTTTCCTTTATTAATCCTCCAAAGTTTAACAATCTGGGTAGTATTTTAATTTTTTAACATAATTAGTTTTAATTGAGACCTAGACGTGTACATTTACAACAGCAAACACTTTGAATACCATTTAATAAAACATTAAAATACACTAATTTTGCTATATCTCTTTAACCAATGAAGATAACAAAAAACATTAAATACAATAATTATAGCAAATTTTAAGGGCTACAATGTGGTTTGTAATGAAACTCATGTTGCCATTTAAAATTTTTGAGATAACAGCTTTTGAAACTTCAAAAAGTTTGAAAATGCGTAACATAAGTAAAAAGATAGCAAAAGGGTTGAAACCAGAGTTTTTTGAAAGCTCATTTATTAATTAAAGTGTTATCAAAATTTGAACCCCCCACGAAATTCCACCTCTTTACAGTGAAAAGTAGTTCAAAGGTCTATTTTTTGTACGTTTTTGAACACCCTGTAAATAGGGATGAAGATAATTTAAATCTTTTTCCACTAAAATACTCAGGACTAAAGGACCTTTAAAAAGAGGTATAACACGACCCCCCTTTACATTTGAAAATTTCCCAAAAACCACCCCCACCCCCCAAAATCTGCCCTTTGGGGTGCTTTTTTTGGGTTGAAAATAATTTAGCTGAATTTCTTGGGGTCAAAATAGGGGGTTCCAGTTGCAATTAGGTTTCCATTTGCTTTCATATTGGAGCTATAGAAGCCGGCCGGGTGGTCTGAGACACCCTAGCGTGATAAATAATACTGTGGTAACAAGACAAAACAATAAGAAAACAGTACATGTGATGGACGCGTATGAATGAGCTAGGAACTATGAAAAATAAATAATACAGTGAAATGGGATACCTAATAACACAGACATTTAATACTGGTACAAGGCGTAATTTGCAAGAACTTTGTGCTTGAATGATGCAATCGACTCATTAAAGAAGTCTATGTGAGATGCAGCATCACTTCCAATCCTCAGGAGACGTGATATTCCAGCATGGTAAGTGTAGTATGTGGAGTGGTATTTTCTCCTGAAGATAGTTCCAGATCTGGTTCCTCTGGGCGTGACGAAATCAATGCTGCTAAGCAGCTCGGGACAGTCGAGAAAACCATTCACAATCTTGTGCAGGGCAATGAGGTCGAAGTAATGACGTCTTTGGATGAGGGGAAGTAAACCGAAGCGTTTTTCCAAATCAACAACAGGAGTGGCTCGGTAAGTGTAACCGATTCTTGAGCCCAGCAGCCGCAGGAAACGATCTTGGATGTGCTGTAGCTGATCTATATGATTTTGCTGGTATGGGGTCCATATGATGCAAGCATACTCAAGTATGGGACGAACGAGTGACTTATACAGCACTACTGGTGTATTGGGGGAGTGGAAGTCCTTAGTTGATCGGAATAGGAATCCCAGTAGAGAGTTGGCACGAGATGTGATATAGTTTATGTGTTCCTGTGGGCTGAATGAGGGTGACAAGACAACCCCAAGGTCCTTTACACTCTGTACTCGCTTCAAGATCGTGTTGTTCATTAGGTAGTCGTAGGTAACTGGACCAAGACCTCGTTTAAAAGACATTATGACACACTTGGAGACATTAAGTTCCATTGAGTTTGAAGCACACCATTTTTCTATTTCACGTAGTGACATTTGGAGATCCTGATGCCCTGAAGATGAAGAAACCCTGTTGAACACCTTCATATCATCCGCAAACATAAGGAAGTTGGACGAAATGGAACTGCTAACGTCATTCATGAAGATGTTGAAGAGAAGAGGGCCTAAATGAGAACCCTAAAGAACGCCTGAGACGACCGCAAACAGTTTGGAGGTCATCCCATCACATTTGACTATGAGCATCCTGTTAGCTAGATAACTCGACCGAGGGGTCTTGTCTCTTTTTACTCTGACCTCCGCGAATAATGGATCAATTTGCGCAGCCATTTCAGCAGTGAAATTACTGATTACAGAAGATACATCAGCAGGGGATGATTAGAACACTTTTAATGGCCTATATTTCTTAGCAGAAGGCTGTCCCAGACGCACTGATTTAATTCCGACTTGGTCTATAGTAGGTAGAAAGGGCGTGATGAGTTTAATGATTAGATCAGAGTCATGTTTCTTCCTGACGTTGATATCAGAAGTGGAGGACTCTACCAAGTTGTGTACTATGATGTTCTATTGGCAGTGTAACTATAATCAATGGTGTAACACATTTCTTATACTTACAATTTAATGCATTTCTTGCCTTCTAAAAAGTTGTTAGTCTTTCGCATTTATACTGATTGTGTATATAGTAAATTTAAATTAGATTTTGATTCGATTCAAAAGTTACATGGCTATGATTGGATGTTTAAACAAGCCAGTATTGCAAACACATACTTTTCCACGAATCATTTAAATTCATTGCGTCAGGTAGATTCACACGTAATTGGAAGCAAACAACAATTAATTCTGCTGACAGAGTTCCACCATTATTAAAATGTTATGTTGTAAACGAGCTGTACATGCATGGTTAGGAAATGCACATACACATATTTACATAGTAGTACCTAGGGACCGAGCCATGGCTCGGTGTGGTATATTTTGATCGTAAAAGCAATATAAAGGATAATCACGTTTACTTTACAACTAATTTAGGCTTTTATTATTTAAGGGTCAGTGGAATTTCAATTTATTATGATGGAAATTTTTACCTAGCAATCCTGAAGACATTAGTTTATTTTACAGTCAATGAAAGGTCGCTCGTTTATAATAGCCTATACTTGCATGAACATTGTTTTGAGATTTTATTAAAACAGCTGATTACTTTGAGGATTAAGTTATGTCATCTATTGGATACAGAAGTTTTTGTATTAATAGTCAAAGGTTATGGTAAGAGAGAACCAAGTTAAGTTATCAGTATTTGATCGGAACTTTGATATATTTTCACCTATATCGAGTTATCTTCAGTGCAATCTTTGCTCAATATAGTAACAACTGATGTTTTTCCTTTTTTTGTACTGTATTTTTTAATTTGCTAGTATACTGTGGGTGTATGGCTTATTTTGAACACATGTTACAACTTGTCTTTTGTTTACTTTTTCCTTGTTATTTTGTTCAACCAACATGGTTACTTAGTAACCCATAAGGCCAATGGTTAAAAGGTTTGACTTTTAATTTATATTTTTATGTAATTCGATTTTTGTTGGCAGTTTTAACTACATTAAACACGTTTATAGGCCAGAAATTAATTTCAAGCAAGCATCTATATATATAAAAGGCAAAGCCCTCACTGACTGACTGACTCACTCACTCACTCCAGCGAACACACTGTTCGCTGACTCACTCATCACTAATTCTCCCACTTCCCACTTACCTAGGAGGCTGAAATTTGGTACACTGATTCTTTAGGCATTAAATAGGAAAACTAAGTCGTTTTTATTCTGATCGGACTCTCGGGCTCCGCCCCAGTGGCTCTGGAGTTTCCCATGTTAACCTAATGAGTACTCATATTTAAATGGAATTAATGAATCTTAACAGCTGTTTCAATTACACAAGTTGGTTTTGTTCTATGATGTTAAATAGCATTACAGTTACAAGGATTACCAACAGAATGCAGCACTATTATTTTTTTTTTATATTTTACAACAGCTAATTTTAAACCAAAAGTGAGTGAGCGTAGCGAACGAACTTCAACCCGGAGGCGAGTTAGCGTAGCGAACTAACTTCAACCAGGACGTGTGAGCGCAGCGAACGAGCTCCAACCTAAAGGTGAGTGAGCTTAGCGAACGAACTTCAACCAGGACATGATTGAGCCATGCGAACGAGCTCACATATGAAGTTAAACGGGGCAAAGCCCGCGGGTACAGCTAGTACAATCATACATACAAGCAATCATTGCTCCTATAAGAGTATAGGATAGGATAACTTAAGAACGGAATTTTGACACTATTAATGTCATTAATTTACATAGCTATAATACGATGAATAAACATAATTGTATTTGGTTTGAACATACAGAGAAAAGAGCTATTTCAATACCTAAATAACATGCCATTGTTCTGATTTGGCATGGTCTAGGTTTACAAACCACAGCCACATTAGTCCCCCTGAGGCAGCTTAGACCCAATGAACTTTGGTTGTATCATTTCCCCTGGTGGGCTGTTTCTATAAATGACAAGAGTAATTAATAGTTTAACACATAACGTATGTATGAGATGGCTTTATACACATTTAAATATCTACTATTATAACATTGAGGTGTATGTCTTTCATTACGCAAAAAAAAAAATAAATAACAACAAAAAACAGACCAAATTAATTAACTTAAACATTGTACAAAGATGATCCACGTATCTAGGGATTGATGGACAATGATTCCTGTTCAAATATCTACATAAAACCTTTTAAAGGAGAGGAGGTGAACTCCCCAAGGCTGGCCCGTCAGTGAGACCGTGGTGTGAAATGTGAAAACAATGTAGGAATAAGGAATAGTTTGTGTATTCATTGGTATGAATTATCCAACCTCACACACAGACAATGTAGTGTTTATGTGATATGGGGTGTTTCTGAGGTCAACTGCTAGGTCTGAAAGTTAGGTTAGGTTAGGAATTCCAATTTTTGCATTGGATATTCAGCTTTGAATATCCAACGCACTATATTTAGTGGTACAGCCTTAACAGGTGTTTAATTTTTTATGTCTGAATCTCAATTGCTCAGTGAATATAAATAAAATGTATGCAGCACGCAGCACGCAGCACGAAGGGATTAGTCAATTAGGTCAGGTGAGAAAGAGTACAGTCAAGGCAAAAACTTCACACAACGGTCTCGCTGACGCACCAGTCAAGGGGAGCAAATTACCAGCCTTTTAACGTATAGTTGTTTGTGGTAAATTTTGATTGGTCTCCATGGACACAGTAATTAATATTTTTACACTTGCTTTGTTTAAATTTGTTAAATTCTATCAGTTTAATACGTTCAAACAACATTTTTAAAATAATGTTGAATGCAGATTTTATAATCGACATATTGTGATTGAATCAAGAAAGATCGAAATATAAATTGGTAATCGATATCTTCATTCGATAGCAGGGTAGCCCAGTTAAGAAACTGTACTCCTTTCATTTTTCAAGAGTTTTGAAATAGAATAAACTTTATAAAATCAGTATATTAGCTATAACCAAAGCATTTATTAAAGACTCGAGTTGTGCCATATTTTAATTACACTTGAATCGAATCCCGGGAACTGCGTGGGTAACATTTTACTTGCAATATTTTAGTCAACGAAGGTTTAAGCTCTTTAATGACGCCCAAGTGTTTACCTTAGTCTAACTTTACCAATAACACGCGGTATTAAGCTAAACCTGTGTTGTTAAGAAACTTTAACGTAATCCCGGCAAATTATGTTTCTAATAATGAGGAATAAATTGTTGATTGATGATACTTTGGGCAGTTTGAAGATTGAAAACTTCATTGTTATTTTTAAAATTTGTTTGAGTGGATTTAATAAGATAATTCTTTTAACAAATATAAAAAATCACCTTACTATTATTGTGATCAGAAAAGATAATTTTAATAAAATATACAACATATGACCTCAATAAATTCTAATTATATGTATATTGAATTCATAAAGATTGAGGATGTACAGCAAATATTTTTTGGAAATTATTCTATGAATAAATAGTTTCGGAGCGATAATCTAAACAAAATATTTCGGTGTCAAACTCTATATTTTTAAAGCTACTAACTTCCTTTTTGATGAAAACAAATGTTCAATTTAACTTATGTATTTCAATTATTATCAATTATCAATTATTTAAGATGGGGACGCCACTATGTGCGTATTTTAACCAAAATATGAGTGAAGGATGAGTGGCGTGATCTTGTAATAGTAATAGGATGTCAATTTATCCATTTTTAACTATGGTTTAATGTTTACCAGTCCGTTCTATAAAACTTCGAAAACACCAAAGTTAAAGTAAAATATACATTAACCTGATAGAGATGCTATACAAATCCACGGTAAAAACATTAAACTCTCCGTAACAAAAATAAAAGAACTAGTACCAAACTTGAAAACAAAAACTTCCGATCCAATCCGATGAGACGATATATCTTACAAGACTGCAGCTATTTCACTTGTAATAGTGACGAATGCGCTATTGGATTTATTGCAAAGTGAAAGAATGTCACCTGTTTCAGGTGAAAAGCTTCTTTAGTAAGAAAGCGTTTTTAAAATGTTTGGTTTTTTTAATTCAAGAAAATATCAATTTACCTAAACATCTTTGTCGGAGATAGTTTTAATAATAAGTTTCAAAACAGCTTGAAATTTTTAATAACATGCAGGTTTCTTTCTGATAAGATGTCTTTTTCTTACAGTAGTAGATATTTTACTGTCCTAAAAGTAGTGGATATTTTTTCCCCTAAAAGTAGTGGATATATTTTAAGCTGCAACATGCTAATTTAAACTAGTTTGCGTTGTTTTAATTTGGTTAAATGTATTGAAAGTCAGTTTACATAGCAGGGTAAGCTACTTTATTAGAACGCTTCTGAACTACACATTTGACTGCGAATTTGAGTAATCCTGGGGTTATAGTTAAAATATTCAACCAAATTAACTTCAATATTACATTATAGGAGGTAGCTTCTTGATTTTAAGAAATTCTATGTAACTCCAAGGTAAAAACAAAATAACCAATCTGGTTTCATTTTTAAAATATTCTTTTTATAAAGAGTAATGCCGTAATGCATATACAGAGTGTCCAGCTTCAACT